AATTAGCAGTGGATAGCACGTTGGATTTCTAATCCAAAGGTACCGGGTTTGTTCCCCGGCAGGGATGCCACCACCATTGCCTGGTCCCAAGTCCAGGATGAGAAAAGAGGAGGGTTGGGTGCGGGGCTAGCAACTCCGCCCCGTAAAAACCAACCTGCTAAAACATTACTGAAACAACAACTTCCGTCGGCGAGGTGTTGTTGGGGCCCTATACTCCAGTGGGAGTCTACAGGGATTATTATTACTTCACTTTTTAATGTGGTAAAATGTTGCAGTACTAACTTTATTTTAAGTATTATTGGTAAAGTAAATAATATCCTTGGACTGGCTATTTCATGGTAGTGATTAACAATGTTTGATATTCCAGGTTGGAAGTGTGACCAGGGTACATCACATCCGTACAGATGTATGATAGTAGTTCTCGTAGTTAGATTGATTGTAGTTTTCTGTCAAAGAATAATGATCCATACATTAGCAGAATTATATAGTATTGTATAGTATTTTATTAATGGAATACATCAGTTAGATTCTGCAGAACCTCAGAGGTGATATTAGACCAATACATTAGCTTTAGTCTTGTGTAGGCTCATGGTGTTTATGCAATTAAAAGAAGTCTTTGAGGAAGAAATTGTGAAATAATAACATTTAAAAATTCTTAATTTCTGCATAAAAATAAGACCAAAAACTACTTGAAAGATTCACCATTTTAACCTACCATCAAGACTAAAACAAGAAGGGTTAGTTGTGTGTAAACATTATTTTATCAGAATTAGTAATTAACTATTTATTGCATCAATTCACAGTTTTAAAAAAAGTGGAAAACAAACTAAGTTTCTTGATTTTATTAAGTAATGTAACTAGAATGTTCAAACACAATAAAAATAAAAAACTAAGAAGAATGGAATGAATTACAAACTGAATAAATGTGTTTTTTTGTGAAATTTAATGGAATTTTTAAAATCTCTTGGAAAAATATTCCATTCAATTTATGATGTGTACTTCACTTTTTGTGTCCCTAGAGTCATTATACTCTACTTTTTGTTGTTATAATTCTGCTAATGTATGGATCATTATTCTTTGACAGAAAACTACAATCAATCTAACTACGAGATCATTATAATCTACTTTTTGTTGTTTTCTGTCAAAGAATAATGATCCATACATTAGCAGAATTATAACCTTGTGTTACTGGTTACTTGAGTGTAGTTTCACAGAGCTACTTAGATTCAATGTGAATTTCAGTTTTTGTTTGCATTACTGGTCACTTGAGTGTAGTTTCACAGTTTCTTTTGTACATTAGATTCATTATAATTCCAGTAGTTGAAAAAAGTTTAAATTAAGAGCAGTAATATAACAATAGGTGTTAGAAATAACATGCATAGTGGAATGAGATGTTTATAATTAACATTATTTAAAGTGATTGACCTAAAACACACCAGTGCTTCACCGAAGTGATACTATAAAGAAAAAGTACAGTTAGATTACTTTTGTTATTGCAAATGATGGAATTAATGAATGAAGCATAATCTTTGTTATGTTTAAAATACCACCTTGCCTGACCATATGTTCCTTGATTATTTTAATTTAGAGTATCCTAATTTGATCTCTCAGTTAATTTGTTTTACCACATGTGTTTGTTCGTATACATGTGTTCTGGTTTTTTGTAATAAAGTTTAAGTGTCTCTTCACTGTTATTCACATACGTATTTGGAACTTTTGAGAAAGTTTGTATATCACTATGTTTACAGTATATTCTCTCCGTACCACAGTTACATGGGTACCACACAGTACTTATATTAGCTTCGTTTTTAACCTATATTTCAGGCTTGATCTGGAGGTTAACTACCTGGAACTTTTGAGAAAGATTGTATATCACTATGTTTACAGTATATTCTCTCGGTACCACAGTTACATGGGTACCACACAGTACTTATATTAGCTTCGTTTTTAACCTATATTTCAGGCTTGATCTGGAGGTTAACTACCTGAGGTTAAAAGCAATACCCGGAAAGGGAGTATTCGAGTACCACGTCAGTTTTAACCCTACTGTTGATAGCATGAATATGAGGTTTAGGTTATTAAATCAACCAGACATTAAAGAAGTGACAGGGAAAACAAAAACCTTCGATGGTGCCAAACTTTATCTTCCTCACAAACTTCAAGACCCTGTAAGGATTTCTCTTATTTTTATTACCTTTATTTCTTTGGTTGATCTTATAGTAAATAAGTATTGTATATAATTTGGTTATGGTATAGTTTTTTTAAACTTTTGTTTCTTCGTGGTTCTTGATTGGATAGAAGTGTTGTCGGAGTTTTGTATATGAGTGGGTTGGGAATTTTTAAAGTAGGTGTCTGTGACTTCCTGGTGATAAAATTGAACAATAAATGGACAGCACACAGTTCACTTGTTTTAAAATAATGTATTTGAAACAAGCCAAACATTATTTACATTATAGGTTATCACCGTTGTATCTAAAACTCTAAGTAATTCTCTTGTCTTGTCAAAAGTCCACAGAGGCTAGTTCAGTTACTTTAGAACCCAATTGACAAGACAAATTATTTTTCCTATCTCTGTTGTTACAACACAGCTGTGAAATACACAACAGGAATACCTGTTAAGGCTAATCAGTCACACACTGGCTAACTTCACAATTTCTTTCAATAACTTTTTCTGAGTGAATTTCACTTAACTTCTTTTAGCTGAAAGTTTTCTAATTAAACTTCTAACTTTTTTATAAACTGCCTGTCACTCAGTCTAGATCTGTCTAATTATCTCTCACTTGACTTTTCTATGCTCTTGTTCACTGAGGCCTTGAACTTTCTATAAACTACTCGATGCTATAATGTAGCAGTATTCACTTAAGGTAATAAGAAGAATACCAAAGATTCGTGTAACGTGACGTCAACAATATTACCAAAGCCTAGTACATCAGTCTAACTGCATACACAACGTATGACTTGTAGAGTTACGTAACAAAATTTATTATAACTAACGGTTTTAAAACATCAGTCTTCAACACTCCTGTCATCGTTAAATATTAGTCACAAAATAAACTAAATAATAACACCTACACTAAACAGTCTTGTATATCCAACAGTGTTGTGAGGTAACTATCTATTATAATTTTAGATGACTGCTCTTTCCACCAAATTACCGACAGATGGATCACCTGTCACGCTGTACCTCAAGTTTATTGGTCAAGTTAAGCCAGACGACTGCATACATTTGTTTAATGTGCTTTTTCGTAAGATCATGTACACTCTGAAAATGACTCAAGTTGGTAGAAATTATTTTGATCCTAAAGGAGGCATTGCTGTTCCACAACACAAGTAAGTTTATCCAGTTCAATGTTTAGATACAATTACTTTTCCCAAAAATAATCATTCCTTTCGTCTTCATCAAGCTATCGTAAAACACAGATGAAAGCTTTTCGTGTGACAACCCCTCTGTTTGTTTCATTATGTTTATAGTAACAACCTCTGTTTGTTTCATTATGTTTATAGTAACAACCTCTGTTTGTTTCATTACATATACATAACTTCTATATTTGTAATTGTTTTTCAGTTGTAGAGAGCTAGTTAGATTCAATGTGAAGTTCAGTTTTTGTTTGCATTACTGGTCACTTGAGTGTAGTTTCACAGTTATGTTTATAGTAAAAACAAACAGGGGTTTG